AACTTACATCTACGCTCGAGTTTTTCTAATCGCGTAAACAAAGTGAAATGAAAAGATAAATCGCGGAAGCTGATTCAATTACACACGGACGACCATCAATCACAGTGATTGTTGTCCGCCCGCATGTGCGTGCTCGAGCAGTACCTGCATACATAAACGTTCGTTTCGGGACCTACTCGCGACCTATCCGCGACCGCGACCGCGATACTAAATTCGAAAAATCGAAGAGTAAAACCAGAAACAAGTGGCATGCTTCATTTGTACCAATTTCACCGTCGATTTTTCAAATTGTATTTCCAGAAACAGGTTGGACACGCGAAAAGGGGACACGCGACCAGAGACTGTGCCAACTTGCCCGGCCCTACCTACTTATAATTAAACACAGGCATACCAGAAAGTAAACTACCTATCCTAACCAATCGCCCTATATTTAAAAAATGGCAAAACAGGCACACCAACACACTCATTCTACGGTTCTCACACATACTACTCGGGCGCAGCCTAAACTAGAGAGGACGTCCCGGGACGCCTCCGACACCCGAGCTTAACACACAACTTTCACACTTTAATTTACGTACCATTTTCCTGAAATCGACTGATGAAGGCTAATGACCATTGCGTAAAATGTAATAAAAATGCGTATATATTTGGATCTTTATATTTCAATTTCAATTTTAATTTCAATTTCATAATGTGTCTAAATATGTATATAAATATTCATAATAATTTGTATATTATCTGAAGAAATGATATTAATAGCGATATGGAATTTGGTACCATTACTGCATGCTTTTTATTATCATATCATTTCATCAAGATAAATAATGCTACTATTCATAATTTGCTCTAGTTAACAGCGTAGTGAAATTTATTAGTACTTGAAAATTATATTGCTCATAAATACCAAAAACGACGCAATCCCACAATCTAACTACACACACACACACACAATGTGGAAAATACATCGTGCACGATACACTAACGCATCATCAGTCGCTGAGAAATAATTAAGCTTATGAACTACGATCATCATGCCCATTGCCTATCTCCCACCCAAGTAGCACCTGGGCACGTGAATGAGGTCCTGGCAATGAACACGGAAAAGATTAAACCTGAAAATCCTGAGCTAAAAAGATGATTAATATATTTATTTTACTAATTTATAACGGGCTAATACTTAATAGTACACTTGAGTAAAAGAAATCAATAATGAATATATTTATTGAAAAAGAAATTAAGATTCAATATTATAATATAATATAACAATAGTACAATAGAATATTCAGTAATAATGGACTCTAAATAAAATATTGATAAAAACATCCTCAGGTGTTTCCTTCATCAAAGCACATCTTTGAAAATACAAAAAAAAAAAAACATTTAAAACCATTGCTTTGATTCTGAAATCTGCCTGTCGCGAAGTGTCTTCTTGCACATAAAATTTAATGCATTCTTGGACCGATTGAAATTGAATTTTAATATCAATCAATAAAATAAATTCATATTACCATAAAACTCGAGTTAAAATTAAATACCATTTATAATTACAAATCATCATTATAATAATTTCAATCAAAATTGCAATGTTAATTTCAACGTCAGACTTCTCCATTACAAAATAATCAAATAAAATTATTCGTCATTTATTCGAATATTTATATTTTATTTATTCACACAGATATTATATAGATACTTTACGAATATTTTATCTTTGCTAATAATCATAGTAAATAATACTTTTAGAAATAATTATAATGAATTACATTCTGTGATTTCTTAAGTATCAGCGTTATGTATTTTATTCCAATCTTTTATATTGTAATATCGTCTTAACTATTAATGCTTTATTATTAACATTAAACAACGCGATGTGCAAGAAAACCTATCCTGAACTAATAAATAACACAGACAAGAAAATATTACTACTCACGGGTATAATAAATACCCATGGTCACTTTGCTCGTAGAAAATTCTATGTAATACAACTGATCACCCGTATCGATTTGGACCTTTCATCCTACGATATGATTGAGTGATCAGAGGAACAAAATGCATGCGACTCACAATTAGATGCGAAGAAAATTGTTACTGATGTACAATACAAGTTATGGCCCAGAAGAAATTATCATCAAGGGACATAACTGCTGAAATAAAATAAGATTCGACTTTTTAATAAATAAACAATAAACGAAATAAAATTAAATAAAATACAAAATACAAACTTACAATCTTGGTTTTCGAAGCATCACTACATTTCTTCCAGAAAATAGGTTAAAGTAGAAGAATCTTCAATTTTGTGAAGAATCTTTAACAAAATGTGAAATATTATAATTTATTTTTAAAATATATTGTTTGAAAAGTTTAATGCAATAAAATTTTGTTCAAAAATTCTAATAATAATATCTCCGAATATCAAATATTAAAGTTTCAAATATACTTCGTACTAATCAAATATGGCGTACTTTTTTATTAGTTCAACAAAACTGCGCAAAACACAATATACAGAATATATTCGAATGTATTCGTGATTGTTAAAAATATATGTATGTCGATAGAATATCAGAGAAATAATTACAAATGATCATAAATATCAAATAAATATTAAAATGGATGCTGCTTTTATTAGAATAAATCAAATGTTATCGTACATCCGTTAAAATCCGTTGAATTTATCGTAGATCAATAATGGCGTCCTTTTTAAATTTTGTGGCGTCCCTGCGATACTTCGACACTTTCACTTGCACTCAACCAATGATCTGCACAAAAGAAAAGCAGAATTTCCAAATAAATGTATAAAAGAAACAAATTATATAAAAATAAAATAATGATCAAGATTATGTGCAGTTCTGAAAATTCGTAATACGAACTACCGGCGAATGTAACCACCAAAAAAAAAATACGATCAAAGAAAGAAAAATAATTTAGTCATAATAATATTCCATAAATTATTAAGTACTTACAAACGTATGAAAAAATGTTAACAGTAGCGAACAGTCTGCGAATGGTGAAAAGATAATGAAATTATTATACAGTTAATAAATGTCACACAGAATAATACGTCTTAACACTCCGATTTATAACAATAGACTATCCTCCCCCCTGCGCAATAGGTTTGCGTCGCGAACTAATTTCTGGGGGAGGAGGGGGGGGGGGCTTCGAGTGTGCACAAATAAGATTACAAAAAAAACAAAACATTCTATGAAAATTTTTCAATCGTACGTATGAATTCACAAATATTCACGTATATTTACGAGCGACAATTTAATATGGTCGAATATTTCTGGAAATATTTGATAGGAAATATTATATATAATCTGGAAATATTACTTGTGTTCATTTCTAACCAACAATAATTAATAAACTGAACATATAGATATATAATAACTAATAATGCTTTATAATGTTCGTACTATTCTAAAACATAAAAGGACTCGATAATACGAAAACAAGTCTAAAAACTATTAATTATCTCTTTACCTGACAACTTTTCGGACGATCCTACTTCTTACCGTGCTTCCCGCCAATCCTGCTTCTCACCCTGCTTCCCGCCAAAAACAATGCATCACGTGATCAGGATTATAGATTGGTCGCGAGAACTATCGATTATGATTGACATCGTAATTACATATTTCACCGTTTCACCGATGGCGCTGTAATCTTTATAATAATTCAAATTAAAACTTTGAAATATAAAAAATACTACACAGAACTCCTTTCTTTAATTCTTTTCATCTATTAAATGAGGCAATAGACTTAATGAAAAGTTTCAAATTTTATTTTTTAAATTTTGATATATAAAATATACATACCTAATTTAGTTATTTCATTAAATAAACTATAGTTATTTCATTAAACTTTATATCTTGAAATAATTTGCATTATATTCAACAAACTTTTTTTATTAACAAATAACAACATCAATTTACTTCACAATGATACCATTTTGATGGCACATACAGTCGATTCTGTGCGAATAAAGATTTTTTTATAGTTACTCATTTTATTACTATTCAATGCGTTAATGGAATAAAGGAATAATATTAAGAATCAAATTAAAAGAATGCAACTATAAAAATTTACAAATTAAATTTTTTAATCAGTTTCTTTTAGAAATGAAAATTTAATCAATTTATGAACATTGGAAATACTATCGCCATCTAGTGATAGAAAGTTGAAACTAATGTTTTCATAATAAAACTTAAAAATCAGATTCTTTTAAGCAAAATTTTTTAATTCTTCAGGAACCAAATTAAAATTTTAAATTTCAGAAATTTTCTCTATGTAATATTATTTTAATTTCCTACATAATTAATTAATTAGATACAATTGGTACAAAATGTTTTATTTTGATGATGCCATTATGGATATTAATAGATGAAATCTTATCTATGGTATTAATTAATACGAAAAAATAATTAAATCAAAAAATTGTATTAATTTCTATTAATTATACTCTACATATTAAAATTTTGGTTCTTATATTACAATCTAAAGTTTCAATGGCATTTTGCAATTATTTCATAAACAATTCAATGAGTAAATTGCAATTATTTCATAAACAATTCAATGAGTAAATTTTAAAAGATATAATATTGTCCTTTTATATGATTTTTAAAATAAACATTTGTAATAAATAATACTTTACCATGTTTTGTTTATTGATACCAAAAGTTCACAAAGAAGTTGCAAAATTGTAAAATATGTGTGAAAAATAGAAATATTTGTGATTTTTATATTAGAAAATTAGTTCCACCATTCACCGTTAGATAGCTATACTGTTTCAGTGTCCGTAAAACAACTAAATTTTAATTTTAAAAAAATTTCTTACGAAATAATTTCTTACGAAAATTTAATAAATTGAAGAGTCAATTTCAAAATATAAAGGATACTTGATTATTGGCAAATTATATTCAAAACTTAGACAGAAAGGAAAAATTTTTTTTTCGACGTTGGTATTATAGAATGTAAGGTACAAAATTCCCTATAGTGTCACATCTATTTTGCCATTAGTCAATGACTTAGCCTTAGTACGAGCTATATTTTTAAATAAATAAAATATTTTATATTAATAATTTTATTGTATTGAACTAAAAACATGTCGGAGCGTAAAGTCTTGAACGTAAGTAAAATCTTGCAGTTAATTAAATTGAATGAAAAAATGATGTTTTTGTACATTGTTTATGTATATCAATATCAATTATAATTTTTGTATTTCAGAAATATTATCCGCCGGATTTTGATCCGTCGAAAATCCCTCGTATGAAATTAGCCCGAAATAGGCAATATACAGTTCGTTTGATGGCCCCTTTCAATATGAGATGCAAAACTTGCGGGGAATACATTTACAAAGGAAAGAAATTTAATGCCCGTAAAGAAGATGTTGAGGGTGATGATTATTTAGGAATACGGATTTACAGGTTTTATATAAAATGTACTAGATGCCTCCAAGAAATAAGCTTTAAAACAGACCCTAAGAACACGGATTATGAGATCGAAGCAGGTGCCACCAGAAATTTCATGGCTTTGAAATTGGCAGAAGAACAAGCTCAAAGAGAGGAGGATGAGGAAAAAGAGGAAGAAGCTACCAATCCAATGAAACTCTTGGAAAAAAGAACATTGCAATCGAAACAGGAATTAGAATTGTTAGAATCATTAGAGGAATTAAAAGACCTGAATCGCAGGCAACAAACTATTGATTATGATCAAATGTTAGAACAATTTGATACAGAAGCAGTCAAACAAAGAACAGAAAAGGAACAAGAAGAATATGATGAGCAATATGTTAAAACAGTATTTCGTAAAAAAATTATTGTAGAAGAAGAAATTTTAGAATTAGATGAGAATAAAAATGATGAACCACCAAAAAAGATGATAAAGAAAAGTAAAAATAAAATTGAAAATAATAAGGTTCAATCTGTAGCAGAACAAGAAAAGGTAAATACTTTAATTCTTTGATTAATTATGATTATTAAATATTTATAAATATACTTAAATTGTCAAGTATTATAAAGTACTTTTAATTTTTTTATTGAAGCCTAAGGAAACTCAAAGAATAAAACCTTCTGAAACATCATTATGGTCTGAAAGTACACCATCATCATCAAATAGAAAAAACTTGTTGGGCATAGTTAAAAAAAAAATAAATTTAGTGAATACTAAAGTGAATTCAAATTCCACAATTACTAGTACTGATAAAGAAAAAACAGAAACTGTGACAAGAGAAGAAACAGATGCTTCTATGGAGAAAAGTACAAATTTAAATATAAGCACATTTGAGAGTATGTATAATTCAACAGGGAACAGTAATAATGGTCTGTCTTTATTGGGTGCATACTCTGACAGTAGTGATAATGATAGTAATTAACGTAGTATGTAATATATTGTACATATAATTTAATTTTATAAATTTTATTTTAAAATAAACTATACATACAAAATGTACAGAGAAAAAATATAAATAATCTCATCGAATACAATAGTGTAAATCAAAGTACATAAATGATTTTTTTAACTTTTTTTTAACATTCAAGGTATAAAATTGTTACTACTTAATTTGAACGTCTTTCTTTTAAAAAAACTTTATAAACGATATAGTTCCGCTTACCAAAGATGTAATGGCTAGTAACACAAAACAATCTCTTTGATTATGATCAAAGATGGGGATCATTTACGTTGACGTTGTTTAGAAAGTTTCCTTACAGGATGCCGAAGCCCTTACCCCTAAAACATAAAAAAATAAAATCAGAGAGATAAAGAGATTAAAAATCGGTCTGTTTCAAAGGCTAGGCACTCTGTAAGGAACTTTTGTATCAACGATATAACTTTGAAAACTTGGTAGCAGGGAGTACCTAGCCTATTAAATCAGACCTTATTAATACAACGTACAAATTTATTTATAATATACTTTACTAATTGTTTTCACATCAAACTATGCTTAAAGGCTGTATATAGAAAGAAATTTTTACTTGATCATATCAATAACCACTATAAATGTTATTTATAATCATTGAATAATATACTTATTGTAATAGTTTCAGAAAATTTAATTGAATTAAATTCAATGCATTGTTTGCATCATCTATCTGTATCGGTTTTCTGCAAGAAATAATTCAAGAGAATTATGTGTGTGAGATTTAATAATACCACAAACCCAAACCATTTATCCCTACATTAATGAGTCAAGTCCTACATTGCAGAAAGATATTGAACATCAACAGTGAGAAGCTATATATAGTAGTTTACAAGTTGACACCATGAGGTACAGTCCTATTTACCAAGGGCGACCGAACTCGACGATGAAGATGATGATATTGATAATATTCTCTCTGATAAGGATTTTGCGACTCCCTGCTACTATCGTCTATGTTATCGAACTCTCCATGTAGATTATACATCCTGGAGATATATTTCCTATTTCTATCTATCGAAGGTGAATCATAAAAATATTTATTGTTTTGGAAGTCATGAATATTCATCGAATTTTGATCTATTTCCAGACTGGACGCGTTCGGTAACCAATTACGAGAAAATTCGTCTATATTTTCGGTGGAATCGTTTTTGCTCAACCAAGGTTCATTTTTCTCTGCGAATGTTTCTTGTCGACAACGTTCACAAATATAAGGTTGGTCCTCATCGGAGGATGTCTGTCGCTGTGTATAGTCTCCGTAATTGTGTAACTGTTGGTGATAAATTTGCGAAGGATCGGTTGCAGATAAAAATTCCGATCTCCTACTAATCGAATCATGCTGATTGAACGAAGGCAAGTTGAAGGAATCTTTCGAGAGAATTTGATCAGAATCGCTAATATAATCCTGCGATAATCTATCTTGTTCAGTTTCCATGTGAAACTTTATAGAAGATGACGATTGTTCCCTAACATACCGCTGTTCTTTGTTCCTTTGTAAAGCCAGTTCTAGTTGAGCAATGCGATTCTCCAAACGCGTGCGTTGAGCCTGCGCTCGATCTTGGTGATCCTCCATCAACTTCACCATCTTCTCCAAACGCATGATCTGCAGCTGTTTGTTCTCCAGCGTTGTGTACAACTCTTGAATCGCCTCCGTTTTGGTGGCTATCTGTTCGTGAATCTGATTAGTTAGAAAAACATTGTCCAACTTCTTTGAACAGGTCTATTCTTTTAATGATATAAAATGATTACCTGTTCAAGATATTCGTTGTTCTCATTACTATTGGATAACTCTCCATTCTCTTGTTGTGCCTTTCCCTTCAAGATATCAAGCAATTCGTCTCTGACTTTCAGAAACTTGCTCTGCTCACGCATCACACGATCGCGCTGTTCCAACTCCAAATGCTTCTGACTCAATGCAGTCTCCAGCTCCTCTTTTTGCTGAATCACTTCTACCAAATTATTGCGCAGATCGGAAACCTGCTGTTGAAGCTCAATCGCATGAGCGCTTAACCCAGCTCTTCCACCTTCCATGGACTGTGAATGCAGCCGTGTTTGAATGTCTATCAATTGCTTTTCTAAGATCCCATTTTTTTCTTGGCTAAATTGTCCGATGAAAATGTAGAGAAAATACATTATTCAAAGTGCTTCTGTATGAGACAATTTGAGGTAACTTTTGATATTTTCACAAGTAACAGTTAGACTGTGGATTTTTATATTAGACATTTTAATATTTCTGTGATCATAACTAAAGAAATGGAGCTTAAATAGAAATTTGTGTAATTGATTAATCTGTATGTTATAGAAATATTCTACATTGTAAGCATTCTTACACTCTTCAATTTTCTATAAATGCATTAAAAAATCTGTAGTCTGATAATAATTTTATGTTATTGTAATTTAATTTTATCGTAGTCTAATCTTTTTTTATATTTTTACATCATAGCGAATTTTTTAGTGAATTTTTCAGAAAATCACGTAATTTAGCATTATGATAATACAATGCACTAACGGTAGAATAACTTACGCGTTTTTTGCAATTTTTTTCAGTTCCGAGTACTGTATCATCAAGTTCTGGAGTTCGTTGGATTTGAATACCAATTGCGCAGCCAATTTCTCCCTCGAATCTTCGTTCTCCTCGCGACACTAGCTCACGAAAACAAACGAAAAAGAAATAATTAAAAATCTTCTAATTGATTAGAATAAAAAAAGATTTAACAAACGGAGAGATTAAAATTGAACAGCTCTTATGACTTATACGAGGACATGTCCCGAAAGTAGTGCAAACTAACGGCCGCTTGATGCATTACTGCGATGATTTCTTCTTTCTCCTCCTGCAGCTTCAAGTTCATCTGCCTCTCCGCCTCCAGTTCGTTCTTGGTTGCCTGCAAATCGTTGAACAGGCGTACTTCGTTCTCTGTATGACTACCCTCTGGTAAGTAAAACGAAACATGCACGTTAAACCTTCGTTTTAACGTAATAGATTGCACTTTTTCTTTCAATGCAACTAAGATTACCCGTAATAGTGAAGTCTTTATTCTTTTCCGCAAGCTCACACAACTGTTTGCTCTTGTCTTCAAGATTCTTGTACCGCTCCTCTAACTCCACAAACGCGTCTTCTGCATGTTGCCTATTTCAAACATCATTTTATATTCCTAGATTCAAAGAAAATTAATTTTCGTAATTAAAAAAATTCTCTTCATACCTCTTCTCGTGTTCAACTCTAAGATCGGTGGTAACTGCTTTCAGTCTTTCAGACAGCTCCTTGATAGTGTTCATCGCTTCATTTTCCTTGCTATTCATCTTCTCTTTAAGCTCCACCAACCTAAAGCGAACCAAGTCAAGAAACCAAGTAAAAGAGGAACTTTAAGAAAACGGAAAAGAAAAAGAAAACAACCGTGCTTCAAAGCTGTCCCTCTGCTTTTCCACCTTTGCCACGAGATCCTCGTTGTTTTTCATCGACTTTTGCATATCCTTCAATCTAGTGTCTATCGCCAGATCCTTTTGCTTCATTTGACTCTCCATGGTTTTCATGTTACCCTGCAGCTGCTGAATTTTCTCCTTGTCATTCATCACTTGCGTTTCCATCTCTCTGATTTTCGTACGCGCCTTTTGCAGCAACGATTCCGTTTGTCGAAGACGATCTTTGTTCTGATTGTGTTTCTCTTTTTCCGTCTGTAACTCCTCCATCGTGGCGTTCAATTGCGTTTGCAACTCTTTCTGAGCCTCCGCCGCGTTCAACTCTTTTATCTTCGCTCTGGAATGCTCGTACTCGTCAATCAGATGCTTCACGTTCCTCGTTAACTCGGCGATCGATTTCTCCTCGATCTCTTGCATCTCGTCTATACGCGATCGAAGCGCGTCGTTCTCTCTTTGGTGAACCTCGAGCTTCATGATTACCTCCGAGTTCGCGTGATCCGGCTCGTTCGCTTCCGAACTGCCTTCGATCAGGTGCGTGGTAACGAAAGCCACGAAATTCGTCTGTTTTTCCAATAGTTCTTGACAGAAGTCGCGCAACTTCTTCGGGATCTCCCGCAGCCTATCCTCCAGAGTTTCGAGCAGCTCTTTTCCAACGGACAGTTTCTCCACGTTCGCTGCCTCGTTATAGCTCGGTTCGGCCGGAGGAAAGTGTTTAGATCCAACTTCGAACTTCAGAGTTTCCACTTTGCCTGGATCTCTCGCACCTTTGGTAATTAACTTGTCGCGAAGCTGCGACATCTCGTTGTAGAGATCTTGCGCGACTTTCTAAGGGTATTTCGAATTTAAATTGACGTTAGTCTTTTGGAAGTCTTTAGTTGTTTGGATTGTAGAACAGAAAAGTGGAAAAATATTTGTTGATATTGACAAAGAGTACTTTAGAATATTATACCAACTTTTGAGAATAAGATATAGATTCTGGGAACACACGTACATTTTCTTTTTGAGAGTTTTCCATGAAAATATAATAAAAAATTTAGTTCTAGGTACGTGAAAAGAGAAATACACAATCTCCGTGCGTGAAGATGAAAAGCATTTGTTATTTACTAATTAAAAAGAAATAATATAAAGATATAATATAAAATATAATAATTGAAAAGAATAATGTACAAAATTATATCAAATTCCAATTTGATCGACAACATTTTGCTCACACATTTAAGTAATTTTTACGAAATCGAAGAATCGTGAAAAATAATTACATACCTGTTTGTCCGTCAGTTCCTTCTTCAGTAGTAAATAACGTTTTTTTTTCATTGCATATTGATTTTCGGGTCTCAGCGTTGATCCGGCAGGCAAAGTGGAGGAGAGCCTCTTCGAAATTGGGCTGACTGATGATTTTGCTGGCGTACGTCGAGCGGAATTGCTCTGCGATTTATTACTAATGGAAGTATCTTCTGTGGTATTACTTGCGGAATCTCCCTGAAATTACGATTATATTTTTCACCGAATTTTTCATATCTCGATTGTTTTAAATATGTCTCTACGTTATTAAATATTTGATCATTAAATAAAATTGCTTTAACTCACTAAGGGCCAGGCAAAAATATTCGTAGAATTGCGATAAATACAAACCTGAGTCGAACTACGTCCTGACTGACCATATAGAAATTTTCTTTGATATGCAGACTTGGTTCCTGAACTTGACATCGCACTTTTCTCCATAACGCTGACGGATTCTTTGTTCTCTAAATTTTTCAACAAACATTCCACATTCTTTAATTACAACTTACAATTACAATTATCAATAATAATATTAATTCGTCGATTTATTTATTTTTTTTTTTAAGAAAAAAGGAGAAGCTGGATTTTTTCATCATATAGTAAATTGTAGTAAATCTTATTAATTATGAATTTTACACGAGCCATTTAAATGAACTAAAATATCAAAAGTAATTAATCATTTATCTCCAGCTGCAATTTAACATTAATTTAATTGTAACTTCTCATTTTCTCTAACCCATCCGCAAATTTCTCAATCAATTTCTAAAAATCTTCTCTAAACCTTCTAGTTACGCTCCGCCGTTGAGCTCGCTGATGAAACGAAACGAAATTAAAAATTCCGAGATTGAGGTTAAACGAAATGAAATTAAACATTTCAGAAACAGGATTGGTGAAATTAAGCGAAACTAGAAATTCCAGAAGTAAAATCAGAAGAAATTAAAAATTCCAGAAGCAGCTGATTAAAATTGATCGAGCGGCTTCTCTGGCGATAAATGTATGAAGAGAAGTTCGAACAGCTCGTCCTTAGAAATTCACATTAACAACTCGAGTTTCTAGGGTTAAGAAAGGATGGGATCGCGTGGAGAGACCTGACGGTTGGCGAGGCGCGGTCAATTGACTCATTATCGTGATGGATGATTCGGCGTCGGGCGGACACGGTGCACGGGGTCCAGGTTTCGACGTCTGCGACACGTGGACGAATTTGCGTTCTCGGTGATGCGGTCGGGTTTCGATTTCATGTTCCTGCCGGTCGGAAGGCAGCGATGTCGCACGACCGTCCAACTCGTTCAAGACAGTCGACAACTTCGCTACATTGAACGCAGCCACCGTACGCTTCCCTCTGGCAAGCGGATCGCGCGATTCACCGATAATTCTCGCGATTTAGACCATCGTCGCGCGGCACGCCGGACGGTTTCGGTTGTCAGGTTACGTTTTCAACCCCGGAGCTCTTATCGGGATGTACCGCACGATGATTTCAACCCCCGAATTCCGCCCGAAACGTCAAAATGAAGGGAAAGAACAACGACGAGTTGCCTCGATGATGGGCAATTGTCAAGTGATATTTTGGTAGATTCAGAGGGAATCTTATTTTGAGATTGAATTTAGGGAGTTGTGCTGTAATTAGTTTTTGAGATGAAATTACATTCTAGGTTCTATAAGTTCAGTTAAATGATTCCGTGTCGTATATGTTTATATTTATTCTGATGTATTTCATGAGAACTATGTAGAACTATAAACACATGAAAAATATAGTAGATATTATTTGAAAATATGATAGACTTTGATTATTTAAATAAAAATATAATATATTTGTATCGTCGGTTTTGTATTATAATTTAGTCGAGTAAATTCTTCATTGAATTAAAAGTTCATACTGTTTATGATGTATTTTGTTGACGTTCTATTAATATATTTTATTGATGTCACTTTTAAAATAGAAATAATTCTTTGGTTGAAATGATTCATTTTCTACTTGTATTTTAAATAAGCAATTTAATCGTAGCACGCAGCATTTGAGAATAAAAGATTTGAGATAAGTGACGATATTTCTAGAAAGTCTCGAGCTAAAAAACAGTCCAATAAAGACCGACCTTGCACCCGGTTAAACTCTCTCGCCTGTTCTGCTGTGAGAATATTATTTGGTAATTATTATGGCCCATATTTTATTTTTGGGCTCGTGGCCAATTAACTACAGTCCGGCCTTCAATAATTTAAACTAGGAAATTCAATAGAAAATTGAAATCATTTTGTTGAACATTAAATTCAAAGCGACCAAAATAAACATAGTAGTTTGCAATAAATATATTCAATTAACATTTATAATCACTTACCGCGGTTGTTTATAATAATAATTTAATACACGAATAATTGTAATTTTCTTGCTATATACGAAGTAAAATAAACATTCATTTGTAATTTCGACTTTTCCGAAATTGCTTTGCATATATTCCTAGCAATATAATAATATAACTTTAGCCCGGAATAATTGTGCACACATATAAATTAATAAATTTCTGTAATTAAATTCCTATTAAATCTCTATAGTAAATTAATGAGTATTTACTAACGAATAATGTTTAACAAATTATATTGTTAACAAATAAATTTTACTTTCTTTAATATTCCAATTACGTATTGTATAAGAAAGTAAAAAACCATGATTTATCAATGTTTAATTTAAAAATTGTATCATTTCGCTCTTTTAATGTTTTTGAACATTTCATTTCAAACTTTATTTTGTAACGAAATTAACTTCAATTTAACGAAGAATTTTGAGCAAAAATTCAGTCTTTTCTGTCAATCCAAATGAAAATAGAAAGAATACATATAGAGCGCGCTATGTCTGACCCTAGCGGGAGAATCTACTTTGAAACGCACTGCGCATCTAATCTGCGCAAGTGGTGGGTTGTTAGCGCGCCTCGGAGAAACGGATTTAGTTGACCGAAGACTCGCGAACGTGATGGTTGTTTTGAACGTCTATCTCGATTGTGTTTAATACACGTGACATGAAGCACAAAAACCAACTGTTTTAAGTTTACTATACGTGTCCACTACGCTCATACACGAATCATTCCAGTTATCATCATGGTGAGTACTGCATTTCTTTATCCTTAACGGTAAAGTTTAAAATTTTAAGACAACTGTGTATAATGTACAAAATATTGGTAGTGGCACCATTGCAGACTATAACAATTTAAGGTTAAGTTTAGAATTAAGTTTTAGAAATAAATTTAATTTTGAAATTTTTAATTTAATCTTGCTTGATTACAAATATTTATAATGGGGAATATAAAATTCAAAATAAAATTAAATACCGCTAGTTTTACTTTACTTTAATTAAACATAATATATTAACATGCAGGTATTATAAGTGACTATAGCAATTTATGTTAGACCGCTCAAATTTACAGTACTTAGTAAAAGAGGTTAGGAATAAAATTAAATAAAATGTAATTTTTAAATGTAATACTGTGTGATAGATATAGAACGAAGAGTTTCATTTTTCACTTCATTCTATTGTCATATACATGATTTGAATTCAAAGACATGTGTAATGGTCTTCATTTGGTCAACTTCATTTCTTAAACATGCATATCTTCTTATTTTAAACACGCATATCTTTCTATTTTAAAAAATGGAAAATGTTTCAAATTTTAATATTAATCTGAAAATTTACGTTAATAAGAAAGAATATTTTATTTTTTAAATAAATGTTCAGAAATATTTATCAAATACTTATTTCTCGAATAATAAACAAGAATAATAAATTGTTCACATCCACCTTCAAAGCGTTTGCGAAATCGGCTTTAATGGAATTCATTCACGCGCAAAGACTATGCAAATATCGATTTGTTACATACAATTTTACACGATTTACCCAGTATAAGTACAGCAAGCTTAGTAATAATCTCAGAAATGACATCAGATACCTTTTTTTTAATCTAAGATACACTCTCTCGTAATTATATAAGCAACGTGATATTTACAAATATGATTAATATTTGAATAAACATATCGACAATCTCTCTTATTCTCTAGTATCTCGTTGTTTTCTTTTAGTATTGCTTCGTGTGAGAATCGTAATGGAAAGTAAATATCAAGAAATCAAAATGACGCACGCGGAACGAATTTTTGCGAAAAATAGTTTTTTATTGCATTTGTGAGAATTGTACGACAAGAGGTGTATTTCAATTTTTCCGAAACGAAATGTTTACTTTCAGAGTACAGAACTATAGAATATTGAAATTGTTGATTGATCACAATGGCACGAGTAGGAACAATTGTGCGAGAATTTTTATACAGTAATGTTATAGAGAAATAGATGGATAGTTCTGCATAAAAATGAAAAAAAAAACATAATACATGATTGATGAAGAATATTAATTATCGCAGTAGCACTATTAAAATATTATAATGTAATAACATAATACAGTAAAAGATTATAACATATGAAATACTTACTTTCAAAGTAATAATTTTCAATAAAATATTAAAATTCTCTATTAAAGAAGCAACGTCAGTAGTATAATAGAAAAATCAAAACAACCAGAGTTTAGTGTAAGTTCTATGACGAAGAAAATAGAAGTTCGAGTGATAAAAATGGAATAAAAATTAATTTAAAAGAACGAGTAAATATTTTTAAAAAGGGAAAGAAAAAAGATTGAAGAAAATTGAAGAAGTTAAAAAATATTTTTAAAGAAATATCGTCATGACGGCATCGTTGTCAACGGTGGGAATCTTCTTCAAACTTTAAAAGCCGCGTCGCAAATGATAGAGCTGCTCTTTTCTTCAACCATTTGATCGCGTTCATCAATCATTTTCGTGGAAAGTTGTGCCCCTTCATATTTTGTTGATCTCCTTCGAAAAAGTTGCGAAAGATGGGACATCGTCTTCCGTTTGTACGAGATCTTGTTGTGTCTTAGATTTTCGCAACATTATATATCGACACATCTATAGAAAAATAGAATACCTTCAACTGCATGGAAAAAACGAAATTAAAAGTTTATAGAAAATTATTTTAATCGATAGTTTTTAATAGATTGAAAAACATTGTTAGATTAGTATGTTGGTATTTCATATTATGTTTGATTATGTTTCATTTTATCGAAATTTTTAAATTTCCTTTTTCTACACATCGAAATTTCAGTTTTATTTTTAAAGTTTGCTTGCAAAAGGGAATGTTGTACATAAATAATAGAAATACTTATAAATTATTTAATTTACAATATAAATATTTTATTTCATTATTATTCATATTAATACATCTATATCATTTACAATACTTACAAAACTTTGTAAATAATTTATATACTGTCGTTAATAATAATAAAGTAAAATATTTATATTATAAATAAAATACATATCGTGTTTCTGTTATTCTGTATATACGTACAGTATTTCTGTTTATAACCAAACGTTAAAGATAAAATTGAGGTTTATCTTATAATTATATTTTATAAAATAAACGAAACTAGAAGTAGAAGAAATAAAATTACGCGAAAGAAAAAGGAAGGAAAAACGTACATTTAAATACGTTTAGTCAATTAAAAACAATTTCTTTTTTATTTTCTGCATTCAATGTTTATCAATGGACGTTTATCGAACACCACGGTTTATCGAACACGCAAGTTTTTGACGTTCGATTGCGCATTCATTCCCTAAATCCGCGCATTCGATCGCGCGACGCTTCAAGAAAAGCAAACGCAATCAGACCTTTATTCGACCTGGCTCGAATATCCGT